TAGAAAAGCACCATTTAATATAGGTAATAGGCATTGGGGAAAAACTGTACCCATGTAACACGTAATGTACCATATAAAAGATAGAAAAGCACCATTTAATATAGGTAATAGGCACTGGGGAAAAACTGTAACATGTAACACGGAATGTACCATATAAAAGACAGCAGCAGCCCTGGGCGGGGAGAGAAGAAGCAGTCGGAGTCAGAGAGGATGTCAGGGTGTGTGTGTGCCTCTGCCTGAGCTGTGAGCAAACCACAGCAGCTCCAGGAGAAAATCTTTTAGATAACTTGCAATAAACTGCCTTGAGACCGAACAATAAGAGACTGCTGAGCCTTTCTTTAAAGCACGGCTTGGAGGAGAAGTTTTTTCACCCCACGGAGCCACCCCTGACCTAGAGGTGAGCTCCAGCACTTTCCAGCACTGCAGGTAGAAGAAGATGGCTTTAACATAGAGGAGGACACAAAAATTATCTGGAGGCTGGCCAGAGGCAGGCAGGAACAGGCTGAGGAGGTGGAGGTCTGTTTGGTGACATGGCTATATAGATTCACTGTCTAAAATCCCTTGTGGGGAGAGAAAGACATGGAAGGAGTCATTGGCTGCAGTCACTTTGGGGTGGAGGGAGTTTTCTTAAGGCCAGGCGTAGGAAAGCTTGAAAGCACACATTTCAGCATAATTAGAGACTTTTCTGACGTGAAGATAAAACTTGATATGCAAAGTCTGTACATTTGGATTTCGTGTTGCTCACACCCCCAGGTTTGGCCTTTATCTTACCTTTACATCAGGATGTTAGGCAATTCGCCACCACCTGCAATTTACTTTGACTCTGGTGACTGTTAATTCTTACAGTGTGGATTGAAGGCTTCATTTAGAAGAGTTTCCAGTTTGTTACTTGGTCATTAAGTTGAAAAGGTCTGTGTACCCTTAAAAAGGTGATAATAAACATGATGAAAGTGTAAAGAAAGCTAAGAAGTTAGGTTATGGTCTTCTCTTTATTCATCCACCTATTAGAGGATGAAAAGGCATATAATGAGACAGAAGAGTGGTACACTGAAGGCAGACAGGGATTTTCTTTGCATGTAGTATGTTGCCATTTCTGAACCATATCCACATGCATAAACGTAACAGGATCCTGCAGAAAGTCAGGCATTAAATAGCCTCCAACACCAATTGCAATAGCAGAGATAAAAATATAAATTTCAAGATTATTGAGTGGGCTTCTGAGGTCAGCTATGCTGTAGCTGTCTGTCACAGCATTCCCTGTGCTGCCCTCCAAAACACATTCCAGTTAACACACCCAAAGCCTGGGAGCTGTTTGCTCTGCCAGTTTTATCAAGTGCAATAGTCACCATGCTCCTGTGATGGTCTGTGACCATCAGTTTATTTATATTGGACACAACAACAGTCTGCTGGGATTCTGGCATTCCAACACTGCCTGAGTGACTGCTGGATGCTTTAAGTGTACTTCAGTTATTTCTTCCACAAGTGAACTCATATTCTGCTCTACTTACAGATGCTTGTGTTGGCTCTTAGTGGAAAGTTTCAGACCTCTCCTGGTCCTGCACAAGTCCTGTCTAAACCAGCACAATGGCAGTGCTGTAAATGTAAATGTGCTGCCACAATGGCAGGACTGTTAACCTGGCTGGTATAATTCCCAGAGAGTCTGGAACAGCTCTGACACGAGACACAGAAATGCTTTATGAGACATTGAAGTTGCTGACAGATGCTGCTACACTTTGGCCTTGCACAGGCAGCTCCTGCTTGCTCCTCAACCAACTTTGACCTCCTCAGGCTACTTGGTCCTCTCAGTTATCTGCCCACACCTGTACAGTTTTGTTTTTCAGGAATGAGCCTTGCACTTCTGCAGTCCTGGTGAGGTTTGGAGAACCAGGGACCTCTGTACCATGCTTGGCTGTGCCTAGAGATGGCCATCAGTTCCCTGAACTGGTGCAGAGATCATTTCATGTATGATGTATGAATCAGGTAAGACAGGAGACATATAGGCCCTCTGATCTCAAATCTTTTCATCCTAGAAAGGAAAGGGAAAAGATTCAGCCTTTTCACAGCTTCCCTCAGAGGACACTCTCAGAGGTAAAACCCCTGTGCTCCCAGTTGTTGAATTTCTGAGCTGTGCATTCTCGCTCTTTCCTCCTACCCCAAACAGTGAAACGTTTGTTGGCACTGTCCAGGAATTCATCTGTTGGCATTTTAATATGCATGTGTATGATCATCCAGTTGCTACAATTACACTGTGGGAATCTTGTTTCTAAATATACACCAGTCTCTGCTGCTCTCCAACACAAGCATGAGGTAATGGATCATGTTCCCCAGTTGCCAGTCACACACAGGAAGAAGGAAATCAATACAGAGAGGCTACAAAAATTATAATTACAACTAATTTCCCTTTCACTTGAAAACCTCATCTTCTAGCCTGCATTATCACAGCTTCAGCTTTACAATGCATTAAAACACTCATGGGCTTCCCTTTGCTAGATAAAATCCTTTTATTTTGCTTGAGAGCATCTTTGGAGTAGCTCCAAGTGGTAAGGTTTATTATACCTTAAAGCAGCCCCTACTCCAGCAGGTACTCTGTTGCTATCAGGGTACTTCCACCAAAATTGAGAGAGATTTTGCATCACTCAGGTTGTGATTGCTGTATTTTGTCTAGGGAAACACGTGTGCACACTGTCTTTTAAATTTAAACTCCCTGATCTTGTTCTATCTCCTCTTCTGCATTATTTAAATGGCAGTTGAAAGCACTGTGAGTCAGTGGAGGCTGTGAAAAAAATTGACAGAATGCCATTCATTTCACTATTATAAAAAGCTGTATTTTGGAAGGATTTTGCATTATAAATAGTGCCTCTGATTCCAGAGGAACAACTCAGTGTATAGCCTTATTCAACCTTACCATTGTATATTTGTATAATTTGTAATTTTGTCCAAATGATGTCTGCCTGGTGAGCAGAAGAGAGGGGGCTTGGGAGCCTGAACTTCAGTGTTGTAGCCAAAGTCCCAGTGATGAGACATTGTGTGGAAATCAGTGTATTCCAAATTACAGCACAGGCTGCTGAGTATGGCTGCTGCATCTCTGTTCTTTCCTTTCCCTGCCCATAGAATAAGAGCAATAATGTTAGAAATGGCAAGGGGCATTCATGAATTAATGCTAATTTTAGTTTTTTGTCAGTGTTTTGAAGTTGTGCAGTCAGCTACATAAAGTGTAGCTCATTGAACAACTATGCCACATAAAATCCACCTTGGTTAGTGTCTGCTAGAAGACACATAAAGGTCTGAATGCATGTGCAAGTTGTGCTCTGCACTCACAATAACCCAAAGCTGCTCCCAGTGTCGCCCCTCAGAGCCTGTTTAATAACCACTGTAGCTCATTGTATCTTTCTTCCAAAAATGAGGTGTAAAAGAGCACCTCTCTCCTTGCTGCAGGCTTTTTACTTTTAAATTGAAACACTTTTTTTCCCCCCTGGAGGTTGTGGTCAATCTGTTACTTTCCTGAGAGTGTATTTTTTCTACCTAGAGCCATATTCTGTCCTTAGTTCTGGTCAGGATCTCTCTTAGACAGCCATTTATCTTTCCTGCTGAACAGAAAACTTTGAGAGCAGCCAGGAAAGAATCCCCTCTGCCCCTTTGACATGATGTTTCAGAGCCTGCCTCTGTTCTTAGAAAGTGGTGAAAGTCATAATTTAAGAATAAAATCAAGTGCAGTGCTAGCAAAGAGTCATATTGGTGGTATCCCTGTGAGTAAATCCCTCAGCATGAATTGGCTTCACTTGAAGCTCAGAGCTCCACCAAAATAAGGCCCATCTGGGAGGTGTCTGTAGTACTGATCTGTACAGGAGTACACATGGCTCTTGCCACATCAGGTGTCCTCTCTTCCCCCCAAAACATGCCTGCAGTTCAGTATTACAGGTCAAACCAGAGCCTCCCAAGGGCCTCTGTAGGAGTTAGCCCATGCAAGTGGTGAAATTTAATCTATATCCCTCCAGGCACTTCTGCAGGTGCTGTGCTTCTGCTGTATGATGGGGACAAGATGATGCTTTTATACCATTGACACCATTTCTGTTTGCATTGAGGTTACCAAATCCCATGTTTTATCTCAGAATCTCCAGATGTCAACATATTCCTTCTTAGGGTTGTGTGCAGTAAGCAAAGGGCCAGCCCCTATCTGGCTTTGAGCAGGGATGGCCACAGATTAATATTTATGGCTTAGAGCTAGGATGAACTTCCTGTGCAGCATCTGAATCAGTTGTTTTATTGGGAGAGAAACCACAGAACTAGATGTATTCAAATCCTGTTCATCTGCTGCTTTAGGACTCTTTGAAGTTTGAGGTTTCCCCCAGAAAACCTCCCCTGTGTTTTACAGCCACAAAAGGCTGTAGGGCACAACCCTTTACTCGCTTGGGTCACGCAGAGTTTTTCCAATAACATTAACTGAGAGAAGCTGAGACCTGAAAGTTTCCTCTTGCACTCAGTCAGGCCAAGGTGAACATTTCTTAAGGTGATGCCAAAAAGTGAAACACTGGATCTCATAATAATATCCCTCTGGAGCTGATCTGGTGTTTTTACTCACCCTGTAGCACTCAGCTATGAATCCAGCCCCAGCTATGAATCCAGAGTGAGGTGAAACATGTGTGAGTTGCATTGCCATTTAACCCTGGGCAGATCAGTGACCTGTGCCTCTGGCCCTGAGCTGTGCCTGTCAGCTCCTGAGGCTGACACTGCCCAGGGATCTCTCCAGGAGTTTTGCAAGAGTCAGCAAGGTGTTCTTCCCCCTAATGATGTTATTTGATTGTTCTGCATGGGGCAATTAAACTGTAAAGCAGTTTTGCACAAGCTTCTACCAAAGCTGCACATCTCATCCTAAAGTTCCACACTACAGTCTAACAAGGGGAAGAGTCTGAAAAACAGAAGATAAAAAAGCCAGAAGTTAAGGAAGTCAGGAGGGTATGTAATGAGTATTGATAGCTCAGATAAAAGACAGAACAACATAGTGAAGATTTCATGTTTTATTGTTATTAAAATTTCATTATGAAACCAGCACAACACATAAAAATAGATCTGTGGTGAACGATACATTTTACTGTTATTGCCCAGGCATTTTGTGCACACTCTCACTTTTTAAAACCAGAAGCTAATGAATGCAAGACATTTCACCAGCGAACTGTGAAACCAGTGTTCCTGCAGCACAGAGAGGCTGTGCTTCCTGTTGACTCTATCCAATGCAGTCAGAAATAATCCTCTATTCACACTTAAAAATAAACTCAGTTTTAGAGTATGCCCCAGCTGAAAATAACTGGAGAGTGAGAGCTAGAAATAACTCTTTTCTTAGGGACCTGTTTCCATGAAAGTCAAAGGGATTTTTGACATGGATTTTCAAAGCAGAAGGACATAGCTATTTGTTGACAGACAGATGGAGAGGCCTAGCAACAGGAGCTAGGGAGGACCTGTGGCAAATAGGAGTTTATTATTTTGATCTTGCACATGCTGCTGAATCTCCTTGTTGTAGTAATTGTCTGTGTTCATTGCTGGGAGGAGCTGGGAGGGTGTATCAAAGCCAGATAGGGCGTCTGCAGCTCGTATTTTTTTCTCCCTGTTTGGGTTGGCCTTGGTTCTAACGCTGCACACCATTCATTGCAAAGTGACTTTCACCTGTGTGCTTTCTGATCCATGTGAGAAAATCAGAACAGTACCACGATTACAAAACCCCTCACCAGGTCACTTGCTGTTCCTACACTGGTGTAAGCTTTTCTTCCTTACTTCTGTGCTTATCACAGCAGTCATTTGAGGCTGCCTTCAGCCCCTGACTTTTGTTCCTTACATTGTCACATCAACTCCAGGGCTGCTGGGAGGTTGCTGACTGGCTCAGCAGCATTGTTTTCTGCATGGAAAGGTCTCTGTGCACCCTCAGTGTGGAAAACGGTGCTGGAGTTCTCTGGGGAGAGCATTTCCTGGGGATAGGAGGCCAAATGAGCCCCACATCAGACATCCTGCTTGAATGTCTGTGGGGAAAAAAAATACCTTAGTGGTGTGGCTACTCCTACAGTCTCCTGTTATTTATTTGGGAACTTCTTTTACATCAGGCAAGTAGGAACACGAACCAGTCCATGCTGTCCAAGCTTGTAAGCAATGCTGTTTTTTTTTGCCACAGGTCCTGGTAGGGTGGCAGCTAAAAATGTGGGGAAAAGCCCATCCTTGGGAAGCTGCCCTGCATCTCCACAGCCTGTGCCCTTGTCTGACCCTGGGGTGCCCAGTGATGCCCTCTCAAGTCCTGCTCTCTTAGGAATACAGCACATTATGCTCACTGCCAAGCTGAAGAGCGCTGTGGCCACTCTGGTCTCATTTCCTCCACGCTGAATGGTTCCAAAACCAAAGATAAAAATCTCAGCGCTGTTCCCTGCGCTGTGGGAAATCTCTGGCCTTCAGCAGGAGAGTGACAAGGGTGGAAAGCTGTCACAGCAGAATGGTGATCAAGGCTCTGCCTTTGTTTTTCCAGCCCTTGAGAAAGATGCTAGGCCGCAAGCACATGTCACATTCAACCGGTTTGGCGATATTACGCCTGTTTCTGCTCAAAGTAGCCAGGGAGGGGAGGGAGAATATAATATGTTAGTGCAAGTTCTCATAGACAACATAAGAATATTTAGTACAAAATGTTCTTTCAAGGTGGGGCAAACGCTTCTAATTGTGACACAAAAAGAAGGTATTTTGTAACAGTTTTAACAAGTTGCCTGTGAAAAAGCATTTGTGTGAAATATGTTTAGACAGACTACCTCACATGACACTGAAATATTTCAAGGCTCTTTCTGAGCAGGCAATAACCTAGTTTTTTGTTTTTTTTTTTTTAATCAAATCAGCTTTATCACAGCCAATCCCAAACATAATTAAATAATTTGGTTGTGATTTTTTTATTTGGTTAGTTGTATTTTTTTCTTTTTCGTCTTTGGAAAAATAAAACGATGCTAAGTTGAGTGTTTCCACTCCACATGGGTTTTACCCATTCAAGACTTCTTTCATTGCAGAATCAACTTCCTCATTCAGAGGAAACCACAGAAATATTCAGCTAGTAAATTTTAGCATAAGATTTCAAAGCTGGTTCATTCACTCCTGAAGTCCTGAAGAATTGCAGCTTCCAAGAGCCTCACAGACTACGTCTCCCTACTGAAAAGCATTTACAAACCTGGCCTAATCTGGAAATAGTCTTTATTTCATGTCTATTAGGGCTTACATCCAAAACTAAGATATGAATAATCCCTAAATTGTGGAGAATGAAAAATTCAGGTATAAATTTTGCAGCACAGTCTCCCGTTTGAAACATTTGGATTTGACCCAAAGTCCAACTAAATAGAAACAATTAAGGCCTCAGTTGTCTATGACTTACACTGTGCAAGTGTTCTGCAGTTGCATTTTAACATGATCAGCCAGTGTAAGTCAAGCACGAGTGGAACAGCCCTTGATTACACAGACATCATCCTTTTTTCGCCTGCCATCGCCTGGTTGTGCCAAGAGCAAAAGAAAAATAAAGAGGCTTCCAATCAGGTGATAGACAGATAGATGTGTAAGCTTTCTTACAACTCTGACTTTCTGCCCTTTCTTGCGTTCTCAGCCAAGCCATAACCCATCAGAAGAGGATTCACAACCATTCTTGCTTTGAAGCTTGCCTCAGAAACCACAACAGGGCAGGCGGTGGAGTTATGCAAAGGCAAAACCAGAATTGGGGTCAAAAGAGCATTTTCCCCAGAGAGCAGGAACAAATGGGAGTGCCCAGCACAGCGGGTGGGAACAGGAGCAAGGCAGGAACACCAGGCCCTGGCTCCACCAGAGATGCCCCTGACACTGCACTGAGCTCCCCTGGCATCCCTGGCGTAGGCACTGTGCTGTGCCAGGCCCCCGTGGGGGCTGTGAAATTCCAAGGCAGCCAAAATGCTTTTTCCAGGCTACAGTAAAGGCATGGAGAGGGAATCTCTGCTGGTGGGCTGGCAGGGAGATTCCCTTTGGGTTTGTGCTCCTGTAGGGTCATGGTGCTACTTACATTTCCCACTGGCCCTGCATCAGCAAACCTGGCTTTGGATGTCCAGCTGGAGAAAGCACTAGGCACAGAGGGTGCTAAATTTCTCCCCAAAAAGAATTCATCCCCTGCCTGCATCAGCTTTGGAACCATAGGGAATTTCCATGCTGGAGGAGAAAAATCCAAAATACCTCATGTAGAAGCACCTTTCCCTTGGATTTTTATTATAATAATTTTTAAGAATATATTTTGTACCGAAACACTGTCAGCATTCTTTATACAATGGAAAATGACACAGTCATTATGTATCATGTAAAAGAGTAAAAACAGAGCGAGACAGGAACATTTCAGTTCAATCCGGAGTACAAATAGAATCTGATGTACAGCTTAAAAGCCACACACCAGACAAAAAGTTAATCTGGAAAACAACAGGTTCTCTTTTATTTTGGAAGTAGGAAGAAAAGTCAGGGAACGTCAAATGTTAAGGCTAAAAATTAAAATTTTAACTTGTATTTTACAGGCTACAGGTGGTAGCCTGATTCTTAATTCATCTGCAGCAGCAGCAACAACCCCACCTCTTTACAAACAGATTTGCACTTGCAAGAAGTAAGAATCAGGCTTCTATGCTCAGAGGACTCTGATTGACCTCAACAGGCTTTGGACTAGAGCCACAGTTGGAATTTCAGCTTGCAAGTCTAAGGCTTCTTAACTGCAGGCCAAATTAGCACAAAATGAGGCTTTGCATTGGCATTCTACCCTTAACTTTGGATATTCCAGTTCTGGTTGCTTTAAACCACACTTTTATTGCAGGTTTAACATAGTTCCATTGGTGAGATACTTTTTTTTGTTTTTTTCTTATATACTCTGCTACAGAGGATGTTTTTGTAGTCTGTTTTTTAGTCCCTATATTATGTGTTCTCAAAATTGCCTAAATGTATGTTTATATCATGATTACAACTACTCAGAAAGACCCATTAAAGTCCACTGTGAGCAGCCAAGGAAAAAAGTGTATTTAGTCCTAAGGAAGTCAAGAAAAGTGGCTGTGTTCATTTATAGTGTAGCACAATGACTGTGTTTATACAGCTATACCTACTATTTAAAAAGCTACTTGAAAAGTTATTATTCATGTGCCGTAGCTGATTTTCAAGCATTATAACTTGGCTGTCTAGACAAGTTTTAATTGTCATATCAAAGGCCAAATATGTTCTCAAACAAGTGTAAAGAATCTCCCTTGGAAAGAAGCTGGTTCTCTTTCTGAATGAAGAGATTGCCAAATTTAACTTTTTCTCAGGTTATGAAAGCACAGTAAATTTAGATTTGCTGTTTAATTTTTTTAAATGGATCGACTTCAACTCAAACCTATCCTGTGCAGCAAAGTTAGTAAGCCCTGAAAAACAGAGTCTAGTGAATATGCAGAATTCCCCCCCACCAACTACCATGCCCACGTTTTCCCAGGGCCTAGAGGGCTCCATTAAAATGTAACTACATGTGCGATAGGAAACATGGTTTTTCAAGAACGATATGTAAAGTTTACCCAAAGAACCTAAGACATTTTGTACATTCAAAATGTTTACACTTTGCTGTTCTTAATCTTAAGATTGTTCGTTTTTACTAATAATACATACAATGAGTATAAATAAATAAACTACAGATAAGTTTTAAAAATTGTATTAACAATACGTTGTGCAAAAACTCATAACAATCTACATTCTATGCAAATACCCTGACTAAAATACACAGGCTGTGTCCACACACCCTCAGTCAGTTTTTGCACAGTCCTTGGGCCAAATCAGCAAAATTCCATTACGAGTTATGGAAGTAATGCTGATTTACACCAGTAGGACAGGCCCCAAGGTTTGTGCAAAAATGCCATAGAAATCAGTGGGAATTGTGCTTGACTAAGGACTAGACAGTTTGATTGTACCCCTTAAAGTGAGTGGGAGTTTTGCCATTGATTTCCATGGAACCAGGCTCAGGCCCTGGGTAAGGACGTCAGCACATGGCCCTATGTTGTGCTACACTACTCCACTTCAGTGCAGAAACAATATTTGCAAAAGAAAAACTTGTTTTTGTCGTCACTACTGTTCAGTAACCGGTTTTAGCGCTGCATTTCAGAGATTGCCTTTTCTGCGAGATTTGAAACGGGACTGCAAGTCTTTCTGAATCCATTCCAATTTGATTATCCAGCACAGGTGGGCTATTTTGATCCAAGAAAAACGGCTCAATGTCTATAAACCAACAGTGCTCTTCGTTAGGATAAAACACAGCCCGGTTCATCGGCACAGGAGTGAAGAACTGCATGCGGAAAAGGAACAGGGCAGCCTTCCTACCACAGCTGTGTCCAGAGCCGGCTGTCGCTGCTCCCAACGGACCACGGCACCTGAGCTGGTTTGGAATCTGCAGTCCTAACAAGCTCAGCCCAGTTTTGTAAGCTGAAGATCTCCATTTATCTTTATCGTGTCAATTGCTGACAGTGTTTCAATACGGTGGTAAAAATCAAAGAGTTGATGTCCGTCCACAAATATTCTAAAACGGGGATGCTCGCAAAGTATCTCAACCTGCAAAAGATAAAGTGTTGAAGCATGTTGCTCACAGTGTAACTGGGGAGTTGTTTTACAGCACACAAAGAGCACTTCAAAGAGCACTGGTGCAGCTGCACATTGTGCTACACAAGAGACAAAGGTGAGACCAGTTTGCCCCCTTGACACCAGTTACACGATGATGGATCTGCTCTTACTGCACAAGGACATTAATCCAATCTCAAACCTCACGCTGTCCTAGCAGTAAGCACACTGCAACCCAGTCCACTGGCTACTGGGAGGTTTTGTGTCTTGGAATAATGCCAGAAACAGACTCAAACTGCTAATCACAGCAGGAGGAAATTTAACCTCCAACCCAAACCTTGCATTCCTTGTGTGGCGGTTTCAGTTTGAACTGGGCAGGAAAGACTACAGACTTGCTGGTTTTGGTGGTGGTTTGTTGGTTTTTTGTTGGGTTTTTTTTTTTTTTCCTGCATAAGGAGGCAGTTCCCTCTGCAATGCTTTCCACACTACTTTTAATTTACTGGAAGGGAGTAAACACAGAAAGGGGATATAAGTTTGTTCTCCCCTCCCACACACACACAGCTGCTGCAGAATTAAAACCCCTTCCTTCACTCCTGAGGCTGCAGACAGTCCCTGTCAGACTAGACTCCATCCTGGGGCTGCAGTGAAGGAAATGCAGTGCAGGATTGCTGGGAATTCTCCTAGACAGTTCTCAGGAGGCACTAACAGAATCAGGGAAGGACACAGCTCATCCCTCTTCCTGAGAGACCTGCAGAAATGCTCTGGAAAAGCAACAAAGCCTGGAGCTAAACAAGCTTGGACATGTTGGGAGATTCCTGATGTTTGGGGTGGCTTGAGAGGGTGTCCTGTTGTTAAATTAAGCTTTGCTGGAACTGCCCCAGCAGGAAGCTGGGACATGAGGGCACAAAACATGCACTTATACAGGGTCTTGGAGACCTCCAGGTCTAGACACAATAAGGAGAAAATCTTCAAGGAAGCCACATGTAAATCTTGGGTCATTTCCAGAAGCTGGAAGTCCAGAGTGAAGTGCTGCTACCAGACACTCGACTCTGCTGCTATTACAGTGTATAAAAATGGGAACAGGGCCCGTGACAAACTGACTGTGCCAAAGCCCAAGCGACTTAGAGCACGTTGCAGCAGGAGAAGTGGCAGCAGGCAGCCCAGGAGAGCTGGAACTCCTGGATCCCTGTGCACCAGGTACCGAGGATGAGGCTGTGCTGCCATGGAGCTCCTGTGTCACTGCAGCAGAGCCTGCCTGAGGCCTTCTTATGTAAAAGATATGGTTAGCACTGCTCACAGTCCGCTTTTCACGTCACCCGCGGCCATGCCATGGTGCTAATTGGACTGGATCTCAAGTAATTGGCAAGAACACTTAATAGTCTTAATTTATTCACTGAGATGGAGACCATCAAAGGTACAAAGTCAATTGGGAGCCTCAATTCTGTTTGGGCATTTGGGAAAAAAAGGAGGAAAAAAAGGAAAAATAACTCCCCTTCTACTGTCTCCCATGATAGATGTGCAATATTGCTGTCCTCTAACATCATCTCATTAGTGGGACATGCACAAAACTTGCTCTGGGTAATTTGTCTGGCTTGTCTGAGGGCCCAGTCACCACCCAGTGCAGAAGACAGTGGAACCCTTTCAGATGGAGCAGGACCCAGCCTCCAAGCCTTTTCAAGTGCATTTCCCACACCACCAAAGGGTGTTGCCAGTTCTGATGGGAGGGTGAGTTTGTAGAAGCAAGTAGAGCGCAACCAATTTGCAGCAAAACCAGTCATATAAACACCCTGTTAACACCAAGCATCTGGGGAGATGGTGAGCTTTTGGGGCTGGGGGAGATTATCTTGGGGGCAAGAAGGATTAAGAGAGTTTGGCAGCTGGTCATAGCACTGGCATTTAGCAGAGGGGCCAGTGAGGTTTTGTAAGAGGGACAGGGAGGAGGAGGGGTTTTCTGGGTCAGCTGCATGGAAAAGGCATGCAGCCTTTTTTCCTCAATGTAGTGAGAGGGAAGCAGCCCTCTGCAGCTGCATACTTTGTTAGTGCTGATTTGCAAAGACATCTTCACATAACCATAAACACCACAGATGGGAATCTGCTTCTAGGTCAACCCAGTCCATCCACAGCACCATAGCACTTCCATATACACTGTTTTCAAGTGACTACAGATTTAAGTTTGATGGAAGGTTTAATCCCAGGGTTCAGAAAAGAATACCACTATTGCTTAGCTGTTTAATCTGCTAACACGAAGAGCTACGGTCAACCTTAACGTAACATCCCTGGGGACAAAGGATGAACACGATCCTTATTAGCTGCACTAAATTGCAAACAGTATGTCCATTAAAAAACCCATCAATATTTACAGCAGCCCCACTGAATATTAACATTCTCCAGTAATAACTTGTAATGCTCTAATAACATAGAGCATTATGTTAATTTATGGTTATAAAACTAAGCTCAGGAAGTTGCGTTCCATCACACAGTATTACAACCTTGTCATAGCGCCCAGGTGAGGTGTTCACAGCCCCATCCGAGCCGCCTGCAGCTGCACGTAGCAGCGGGATCTCCACGCCAACTCGATGGATACAAACAAACCAGCAACTGGTGTCTCAACCAGAGCAGTGCCGGCTGCACTGTGATTTCATGAAAGGCAGTCAGGTTCTGCCGCCACTCGTGTCAAATGACACTTTATCAGACATGGTGCAAGCCACTGCCATGCTGGTACTCACCCTAAAAGGCTGGTCCGGTATAAATGGAAAGTAAGGAATAGATGACTGCTCTTCCCCCCATTCTCCAGCTACACAAGAGTTTCTGACAAACTGTCTCTCTGTAAACACAGCTTTCAGTTCTATGGCTACGTCCGCAGGAGGATCTTCTGACTCCCCACAAGTCAGACTGATGCCAAAGCTGCAACACAAACAGAACAGCTCTTACTCAGCCAGAAAAAAGCAAACAAGCCCCAAATTCCGCCAGTCTTATTTCTCAGCTTATTATAGCCATATAGCGGCACAGGCTGGAAGACAGCTCAGCTCATTCAGAGCTCTCTGAAAGCTCAACAGGGACAACAACATGGTTATGGAGTAGATATGTATGTATGTGCAAGGCGTTGGGCATATATTTGTACATATATGCAGATATATGTGCTTGATATGCTCCTTCACTCCCCAGTGAAAACGGAATCCCTTGAAGAAATGCCCCCTCTATGGGTCAAAGGAGAAACCAGCACGCTATATTTAAAATGATAAAAATAATCCTTTCCAGAAAGGAGGGATCCGTGCGGATGTGTGTGTGTCTACGTGCGGCTGGCCGCCCCACTTCGCCCCCTCCCCGGCACCGGCAGTCCTGTGCAGGTGTTACCTCTCGGGGTTGAGGTCCACTATGCCCATAACCAAGATCTTCTTTCCCGGCCTCATTCCTCCTTTGATGTGCCCGCAGAAGGGGACGATCTGCAAAGGACGGGGGGAAGGTGCTGAGGGTCAGCTCGGCATCACCAGCGGCCGCCCTTGTGCGGCCGGAGCTGAGCGGGGGCGGGGGACAGCAAAGGCACCGACAAAATAAAATACACCACCAAGAAAAAAACCCAGAGAAAGGTGATTTACCAGGCGAGGGAAGTACACATCAGCCTGCACCGGAGATCCCAGCGAGTTGTTTAAATGCCCGTCCTCTATTTTCTGCAGGTGAGAAGCAGAGCGCTGAGGCAGGGCCGGGCGGAGCCCCCAGCCCGCCCCGCTCCGCGGGTGCCCTGCCCGGCCCCCAGCCCCGTCCCGGAGCCCGTCCCGGAGCCCGTCCCGGTGCCCGTCCCGGTGCCCGTCCCGGTGCCACGGCCGCACTCACCAGCGCGTCCCGCTCGGCCACGGTCCCCGCCATCTTGTGGAAGCGGCGGCGCTGGGGACAGGGCGGGGGAGAGGGAGGGAGGGAGGAGGGATGGAGGGAGGGAGGGGGCTCTGTGGCGGAGCGGCGGCGGAGGGGTAGCGGCGGAGCCGGAGCGGAGCCGCTGCAGAAGTAGGCAGGCGAGGAGGAGGAGGAGGAGGAGGAGGAAGAGGACGAGGGGAGGTGGCCGGCTGGCACTGCCTCGCCCGGCGGGGAGCCCAGCCCTTGGCCCGAGGGGGAGCCGGGCAGGGCCGGGCGGGGCGGGGGCTGCCGCCGCTGCTCCGCTGTCAGCCCCGCGGCGGGGCCGGCCCTCAGCGAGCGGGCAGAGCGGGACGGCGGCGGGGCCGGGCCCCTCACCTGGCGCCTGCAGGTGATGGCAGCCCCGCGCCCGTCATGTCAGGGATCGCCTTTATGTGCGGGCGAAGAGAATGTGGCGAGCCGGGCGTCCTGGGTGGCTCGTTCCTCCAGAGGTGGGGACACTGCTCCGAAATGAGCCTCCACCCCTCTCCGCTCCGTGCGCCGCGGCGAGGAACCCTCAGGGGGTGAGGCCCCGAGCGGGGTCGGCGTGAGGGGGTGACTCCGCTCCCGGCCGGGCCCTGCCCCGGGCCCGCCGTGCCCGCAGGCTCCGGCGAGGTGCGGTCATTGCATAAGGCCGGGCCGTGCCCCTGAGCTCCCGCTGACACGCTGTGGCCGCGGTTGTCCCCTCTGTGGCTGTCCCCTGTGCGGGTGTCCCCTCTGCGGGTCTCCCCTCCGCGGCTGTCCCCTCTGCGGGTCTCCCCTCTGCGGCAGCCCGGCCACCTCCGGCCCTGCTGGTGCCTCGCCTGGAACACAGCAGGGGTGACTCGCCCCGCCGAACGCGCTGTCATGGTCCCTTTGATGAGTTCAAGATCTTGGGAATTGAGGAAGGTTTTCTTGTCACTTCTTCCACTGGTGTGGGAATCCAGGGCTTCCCTCTGGCTGCCCTGGCAGGGGTCAGGAACCCCCCTGGACAGAGCCCCGAGAGACACTGTCTGTGATCTCTGGCCATGGAAAAGAGTTTTCAATCTTACAGGATGAATTACCAGCTTTGAGTGTTTGATATAAGTAATAATTAAGTGTGGCACGGGTGCAAAAGTAAAATTTTAGATTTCTAGATTAGGGGTTCAGAGGGGACAAGATGGAGGAAATTGGGTATGTCGTGTCCTTTTCCTCCTTCTTCATGCCCTCCATTTTTCACTGTGCTGTTGGCATTTTTCTGTTGGTTTAGGCTGGGGACACGCTGTTCAACGTAGGTGACAGATATTGGCACGTTATTGTAAATGCAGCACAGGTAGTTTCTGGTATTTAATGTTTGTACCATCCCACTGAGGGGCAGAGCCCCGCACGCTGCCCTGCAGGACAGAGCTGCGGCAGGGCAGCAGAACATGTTAGAGATAAACAGAATAAACAACCTTGAAACCAGCACAGACGAATTATGGCTTCTGCTTTGGCAGCGGGGCTGACAGACAGAGACTTTCTACAATCTCGGAATCACCAGTACCCACAGATTCCGACACACTGGGATGTGATGGCATGAGCATCCCTCTAGGAACGTGACACAGCAACTGGATTTAGCCTGTGCTCTGCAGGAGTTTCCACAGGGACTTGGCTTTTTGTGCCTCTTGCTTACACACTGGGCTGGGTTGGTGAGTGTCCTCGTCCTTCCTTCCTCCGAGGCACTGTCAGGGTCAATTACATTGAGTAAAGTGGAGTGGGGGAAGCAAAGTCACTGCAATATTTAGGGTTTCAGTATGATGGTGTCCGTTGGGAAACACCTGCAATCAGTAGGTGATGCCATTTGAGAAATCGAGAGGTACTGAGTGTAAAGAACAGATTGTGCAAGTGTTTAGATGCCTGGCTATTTTTTCAGTAGTGCCCACTAATTTGGGCATGTTTTCCTCTCTGGATGCCCAGTTGGAGATGGCTCAGAGGAGCTCATGTTTGGAAGTCACGTACTGAAGTCATGGCTCCTTCAGGGTGTCACTCATGTTCACAGCTGGGCACAGAGGCAGTGAGCATCCCTGTGGCCCAGGTCTCAGCATGGGAGAACCACTGCACTGTTGTCTTCTTGCCAAAACCCTGAATGTCTCATCACCACATGGAAAAGCATCTTGCTGGAGAATGAATTCGTAAATAGTGCAGTAACATGAACCCATCACACATCAGAAACAGCTGGCTTTACAGTGGTCAGGTGAGTGCATTCACAAGTTTACCACGAAGTGGAACTGGAATTAGCTTGATGTGTTTCACCTCCTGTATGCTGCTCACCTCACCATGATGATGATGCCAACTGCATTATGTTGTCTTTTTCTGTTGGCCAAAGAGAGAACAGAAATCATCCTAAGCTTTTTTTTTTTTTTTTTAAATTTAGTTGTATGGTGTTACACGTTATCCAAAAAGCTCTTTTCAGAACTCTGTCTTCTCTGCTGTACAGAGAGACACTTTGTTGGATAAAATTAAATTCATTGGACATAAAATCAGGCCAGCCAGTTGTTTGTGCCAAAGCATGATGTTTTGTGAAGGGAGAGGCCATCATTATGTATCTATTTTGTAGCTGGTTTTAAATGAACTTTTTCATTTCAAAACAATTAAATAACACGACTTGTCCATTTGGCTAGCTGCTTTGCCTTGTGCTTGTCTTTTTGGCATGTTTTCCCAAAACTAGCACAAATGCAGCATTTGTTTTGTTGGCCATGGACTGACTGGAACAACCCACACTATTAAATTTTGATGGAAAAGGGCATTCATGAGTTTTTAAAGCTCTAGTGGCCTGTGCCTCTGTGTTTTTGTGCTGTGTTATCCTCTTAGCCTGTAACAGTCCAGGAGGACACCGAAATCCTCTGTGTACCATGAACAGTGTGAGGCAGCCAGAGAGGAGCTCTGCCTTGGTGTGCTGCTGTCCTGCCTGCAGGATGCTCACTCCTGAAGGGAGGTGTTCTCCAGCAGAAGATTTCCTGCATTGCCCAGCAGTCCATGGAGCAGGATTCCGTGTCTGGGCAGCACCAAGCCTCTCACCCACGGAGGGCTTCCTTGGGATCCAGCTTCCCAGGAGGTTCCCCTCTGCAAAGAGCTGCAGGGTGAGTGCTGCACCTAAGCTCCTCTACTTCTGAAAAAGGAGCGGTCTGAGCCAAATCTGTTCTTTTACCCATATAGTGCTTGTTAAATCTTGTACAAAATAGCCCCCAATCAGTATTTTCAACAGCTTTCTTGGCAGGGAAGCTCTTGAGTTATCCTACTTGAGGGCCTGAGCTTGCAGACCTTGTGGTAGTAGCTGGAGCAAGGTGATAAATATTTGTGCACCACTGAAATGGTGCTGAAGTACAAGCTACCAAATTTGTCTCGTTGGCCAAGTGCAAAAAACCTTGTGCACAGGTATTGTCTTCCATTTCTGGGTTTGTACAGCCTTTTGCTCACTGGGAGCCTGGGACTCTTGAAATGCAGAGAATCGTATAAAGATTAAAAAGAAGTGGCATGGCGTGAACACCATTTGGGAGCAATTAATGACATGCCCAGCCCAGCCACCAAAGCCATTGCTGAGAACTGGCAAACCCAGAACTTCATCTTAATCCCAGCACCTTGTATCTTGCAGCCACTCCCTTTGATGATTTAAAAAGGTGTATCTAATTCTTAGCTGGCCATCACTGGCAAGGAATGCAGCACGATTGCAAATTTGGTGTGGTATAATTACCCTGCCTTTCTTGCCCCATTACCACTGACATTACTCTCCTCATGCCTGGGTTTATAGGCTGACTTGTAGAACCTCTCTGGTTTGTTTTGCTTTTTTTAATGACAATGTTGAGAGGATGGGAGGTGTTTGCTGGTTTCATGGAAGCTTCCTTTGGTTTCTGGGTGGCAAGGCACCCCGCTCCTGGTTTTTGTAAGACTCGGAAAAAGCTGAGTAATACAATAAAGGAGAATGTTTGGGAATACATGTGATTCAGTGGTTGGAGCCAAGTGTTTAACAGTTAGAGGAAGTGCTCCTTTCAGGATTACAATTATTTGGATTGCACAGTGTTTTTGTTGGTTTTTTACCTTTGTAGCTTTGCCAGTGCAAATCCTCAGTTAGAGGGTTTTTTTCAGGTACAAAAACAGTGCCAGGAGCAGCACCCCTCTCTTGGCATTTATTTCATGTGGCTTCACTGCTTCTTGTTGCCCCCTGAATTATTGCAGTCGAGGGTTTTGCCCTCTGGCTGTGTGTGAATCCCCTGGAGAAGCTGGTTTTCTGGGGTTCCCAGTAACAGATTGTGTAAGCTGGTGTTTAAGGAGGTGGTCCTGGTGGCTGAGTTGGTTGGTTGCACGCAGAACTGCTGCACATCTGGTATCAGAAATATCTCTGCTCACTCCATGTCCATTCCTGCTGCACAGGACACCACAAGGAGCTGGGAGAGCCTGGGTGACCCAGCTGGAGTCACTGCACACCTCCTACTCCTCTCTCTCCCAGTGGAGACCAGCCAGTGCTGGGAGCCTGGAGAAACTGGTGGAGGCCAGCAGAGATGACAGTGGGAAACTTTCAGCTGCCTTTGGCTAGGCTGTGGTACAGGGACGTGGAGATTGAGCTTGTGTAGGAGGGAGGGAGCGAAGGGGAGTCCCACTGGTGCCAGTCAGGGAGATGGAGAGGTCTGGGGAGCCACCAGCAGCACTGGTATGTGCTCCCTGGCAGTGCTGGGAGAAAACCTGTCATGCAGGACAGGGAGCCTCATGGTTCTGCCGTGCTCAGGCTGCTGGTGCCAGGTGACAACTCACCAGTGGCCCTTTCTGCTGAGGGGATGCTCTCCCAAAGGGAACAAAATCCTGCCTCTTTCTGCCTTCTGGTTTTCTCAGAGTTCTGGGACTCTGTTGCTGCAGGTGTGGATTCGTGTTCAGCGCTGTGACTCCTGCCCCTCCCCCAGTTGATGTCCACAATAAAAAGGTCTTTTCTCTCTTCTGAATGTGTTGCCACAGGATTTTCTGGAGTGGGGAACTGTTGTCTGGGGGTGAATCCTGAAGGAGGATTGAGTTTGGGATCATTCCTTGTCCCAGCATTCTTCCTAACAGCTGGTCTGAGTTGAGGTGCTTTAGGAGACAAACCAAAGCAGAGTATCCCACCTAAGTGTAGAGCATAAGGGACCTGTGGAGGTCTCCTGGTCCAATATCTGCCCCAGCAGTATTCCCTGGAGCAGGCTGGCCAGGACCATGTCCTGGTGAGTTTAGGGGATCTCCTTAGGGCAGGGCCATGTGCTCAGAGTGGGGGTAGGACATAGACAGGGCATGGTGCCAGGAAGGGCTGTTATGGATTAGAGAACCTGGGTGTTGGAAATCTAATGAATTAAGTGGTGAATGAGTGAAATGACATGTTAGATTCCTGTGTTTAAAGGGGGTTGAGCCTTTATTTGCCAGGGTTTCCTGTTTGCTTTCTTAATGAGCTCATAAAATATAGTTGAATTTATGAAGTACCTTGCACTGTGAAGATGAGGTATCCAAACATACCATGACACTGCTCAGTCCAGAAGAGGTTTCCTGTAGCTTTTCACTGTCTGCAGGACAGGGTGGGGGCTGTTCACTATTTTTAAAACCTCTGCAGGGAATATTCTTCACCTGTAATTTAAAAAAAGACTGCCTTAATATTCTTGCTTTTAAAGTACTTTCTGCAAATGAAACGTGGAACATGGGAATCTCATCTTTACGTTTTAATTGGTGGCCCCAGCAGTCCTAGTTCTATGCAGAGCAAATTCTGCACTTAGTCATATGTGGGCAGTGCAGTCCCTGCTGGATTTCCTGCACACCACTGCTTTGTCCAAAGTGGTTTGCTGGTTTTGGTGCATCAGGAGCAGAGCCAGCATCTGACTGAGTCCCAAACATCTGCAGGTACAGTGTAAAACTCACAACTTCCCTTTACCATCCAACAGTGCCTTCAGAAGACCCCATTCAGTCAGCACATCTGCCCAGGCTGGGAACAAGGCCATTCCTGTGAGGAAAAGGAGAGCTGGGAGCTGCACTGAGGGGCTGATCCAGCCAGCTTTCCCAGGCTGTGCACATGGGTTTCAGGTACTGCATTCCCACCCACCACTTGTTGCAGTCTGAACTCCTCTTCCCATCTGGGTCGTGTGAGGTACCCTCCACGAGCAGCACTTTGCTCTTACAGGCATCCTGCTGTGCATTGCAGCACTTCAGAGCTAAATAATTTATCTAGGAAGAATGTTTTCTACGTGACTTAGAAAATGGGAGAGAAGAGGAATATTGCAACAGTAAACTGAGGGGTGGACAAATACATTCTGCCTCTCAGTTTCTGAGCATTGCACTTTGCCACTTTTGTTTCAAAATTGCTTTCTCTCCCATAATTATCTTCAAAAGAGAAAGCTGATCCAAAATGTTCCCCTTTATATATATACACACACACACATATATTTTAGGGTGGTTCATTGATTTCCATTTCTAATAATCAAAGTGAATAAACAAAAGCAAAAAGCCCCACGGCAATATATTGCCTAGCATATTTAAAATAGAGAGAATGCTCATATGTGCCGCAGCACACTTCGTCTGTGGACATCAAAGTGTCTCATAGAGGTCGTAATCCTCATTTCAAAGATGAGGAAACAGAGGTGCTGAGAGAGAAAGTGGCTTAGCAGGTCAGTGACAAAGCAGGGCAAGAGTCCCCTGAGCCTGTACTGCAGGCAGAGGTGAGAGAGCAGAGGAGAACAAACCTGTCCTCACCTAATCAGGACAGCTGAGTCCCAAGTGCAGTGAAGGCACAGTGACACTGCAGGGACAGCACCAAATCATGCCACAAGCCATAGAGCCAGCAAAGCCTGGTTTCTTCCAGTTTTGTGTCTAGTCCAGTAGTTCAGGGTCGTCTGCTGTTGGCCTTTGATGTCACAATAATGAGGTTCCACTTGTCTTTCTCTCACCAAGGGTACTGGGGGAGTCTGGCTTCTCAGCTTTGTTGTCTGGTTTCCCAAAACTTTGGGGTACTTGAGAATTTTTGAGCCTTCCTGTTGTCTGCGATCACTGAGGCAGTGAAGTCACAAAGAACTCATCCTTGCATGTACACACAGGCACGTTTGCCTCAGCATTGCAGTTGGGGGTTGCCTTATCCTATGGAACTACTTGATCAGTCAGCACTTTAATGCTGCAAATCTGTGGCTTTTAATATTTTAAATTTAACATTTTCTATTCTGTAACAGAGTTCTGGAACTAGATACAGTGTGGTGCAGTAAGGATGTTCACAATGTTGGTTCAGTAACCACTTATGGGAGAATCTTTCCCAAGGGGAGAGACAAAATTGGACTTTCAGCTCTGTAGCTTCAACTTCTTTGAGACCTGAGAGGCTCACAGCACAGTAAGACTCATTCATGTTATTCATTTGATGAATAACTTCAGTGAGAAGGCTTCTTGATGCCTGCAGCCATGCCCCCTTGGGTCCTGGTCCTCTCACATCTAGCTACCCAGAGGGAGAGGTTCAATGGGAATTTTGATGGGAAGATCTAACATAAGTTGTAAGCTGTCTTAATTTGTAAACTCTGGAAATACTCTGGGTGGGCTGGTAAATTGAAACCTGCTATTAAGAGGTTGGTTTTTTCTTAACTTTAACAGACCTGTAAAAGGTAGACCATGGGAGTCACAGGTCTGCTGGCCAAAAACTGAAGGCACATACTCTAAAGAATCCCCCTGGTATTTTAGGAATACTTCCAATGGCTCAGAAGAGAGCATTGTGCTCTCTGAGGACTAGAGGACAGCTGCTGGATGAGTGGCCTGAGTTTCATGGTGTGATATGGCCATAAGTTAATTGAAGATCTTGGAGTGTTCTCCATAAAGGGATTTGCCTCTGAAACACAGACACAATTTGGGAGATTGTCCCACTCTACTCATATTGTAAGAAGCAGCAAAATCAATGGGAGTTTACAAGTGAAAGCAGGTTTGCTAAAGAGAATTTTTTCTCCTTCCAGGTGCTGTGAGTGACACTTCCAGTGGGTGCTGCAGTGGGTGGGATCCCTGTGAGCCTGCTTACTCCTGGCAGGATGGTTTATCTGGAGTGTAAGGCCCTCACCCATTAGCTTCTAGTCCACTGGCTGTCTACTGAATGTTTTATATACTCAGGTGCTTTAGTAATCTTCTTCCCTTAATACCAAGACTTTCTGCTGATTATCAATATGTTCCTTGGACTAGTAAGGCTTTACTGGCTGTTGTTCACAATTATTTGGACAACATACACAAATGATGCTCAGGTAGGGATACCTGAAGATCCCTCTCCTTCACACCTTACCAGAAGAATATTCTTTTTACTGGGCTAGGTGGTCTTGGTCCTCCATCTCTTCTGTGACATAAACCTAACATTCCTCACTGGCTGCCCAGTGGTCTGATGCCAAGATGAGCCAAGACATCTTTCCTTCCCTCCAGCCAGAGTGGGTGCTTTGACAGGATGTGCTGGATTGATCTCAGACTGCAGGTGACATTTCTGGGTCTGCCTTGCCTTTGGTGAGTGTCACTTGGTTGATGCACTGAATCTGGGCATGACAACATGAGAGATAAAGCAAGGAACAATCCTCCTTTGTTCCCATGTACCAGTGGGATTCAAAATCCACCTGGAGGAGGCAGGAGGTGCATTTTCTTAGCGTTTCATGTTGGCCACTTTAGGTATTAATTGCAATTACCCAGCAATTATGGTACCTCATATTGAAGGTGTAGGTGAGTAGCTGGGTTTGGGTATTTCCCTGCTGGATCCAGAAGGGAGGTGGAGGAGTTTCTGTCACCACACCTAAACCCTTTGTCAGTCTTGGGCCAGAGCACCCAGAGGGATTAATTGTTAATGATGGAGGAGCTGCACTGTTTGTCCACAGAATAAATAAAGCATATTTTCCAGCTGTTTCCTCCTCCAGGTCTCTCCCTGTTTCTTCCAACTTCCCCACATCACTCCCTTTTCCTAATCTCCCCATTTTTCTTTGACTTTCTTCTGCTGTTTCAGCCCTGGTGGGCAATTGCCAGGGTGACAGAGGGCTTTCCAAGGGCAACCTGAATGTCCCAAATGTCCTCCTTCCCAAAATCATCTGTGTCAAAAAGCGATGGTTTTGCCTTTTTGCAATGACCAGGTTTAATTATTAGTTAAATATCGAGGTCAGCAGCCACTCCTATCCCCAAAGAAGCGCTGTGCCATTTAAACAAGTGGAGCTGGAGGGCAAAGGCATTCAATGATCAAACCATCTGCAGAAGAATTGACCTTCCCATTTGTCCTTCAAAGCCAAGGTTGCCATATTTTCCCAGAACCCGTGACCCAAATAGCAAGTTGTGTCCTATCAGGGTAGGTGGTCCTAAGGTGCCCATGTTTGCTGCCACCTGTTTCAGAAACTGCCATGGTTTCAGTGTCCTTATGGAAAACAATCCCATCATTCCATCAGGTCTTTCCAAAAGCAGAATGCAGCACGATGGGACACACCAAAACCCATTCTGAAAGTAGTGCACCAGTTAGATGCACAGACCCTGAGGACACTCTGAATCAATATGTAATAACAGTGCTGCTGTATGAAGCTTCCATTCCATCACAGCAGCTCTGTGACATTGATTTGTGCCAGAGAATAACTAGGAAGCTTTTCTCTCTGTAAATCCACTTCCTAACCTGGCAGACTTTCACAGCATGGAAGTGTCTGTGTGATATTAGTTCTAGTTTCTACTATGTGTATCTAGTCCTCTTTGCTGAGAGTACATCTCCTTTAGATTTTTTTTTTTCCCAGAAGAGCTTTACTTGGGAAAAAAAGTTAATTTTAATGACAGTTTTGTTATGTTCAAATATTGGAGTCTTTTCTTAGCAAAAATGTTTTTTCTAGCATAAAAATGTATATGTGTGTTGGGTTCTGGGAATCAGTGGAAATTATGTTAGCAAGACCATGGGTTTTGTTCGTATGTTGGAAAAGCCAGTGCTGCCATTGACTATAACTCTAAACAAAAATAAGCTGGGTACTGTTTTTCACTTACAGGCCACCCAGTTGAGAAATGTTCTCACTACATCAACAAGGAAAACTGTGAGAAGTCAAGTGTGTTGGAGTCAGACTCATCTCACCATCTTCAGGTGTCCAACTTCAGCACCATCAGCTTGACACTGAGACTCTGAGGAATTCAGGGTGGAATGAGCCATCGTGGTTCCTGTGGAAACATGAGGTCTACAATTGTTTATTTCTTTCCACGGGGTTTTAAGGGAGCCCAGAACTGCCACTTACAGTGTAAATATCCAGCATCAGCCTAGATAAATCCTGTGTTTGACCCCTGAGGTTCTCTGTAGCCCTCCAGACTCCCATTCTTACCTCCCACTCACCTGGGTGCAGTGCACACTGTGTATATACAGCACCAGTCCCTGCTCAGCCTGTCTTAATTAATAACAGCTTTATCATCTGATAGGGACCAACAGAATATCCCCTGTGACACAGAAGGCTCCTGCCCTGAGGATGGCTCCCTGCAGACAGATGGCAAGCAGAAAATATGCCAGAAATGCTCTTCCTCAGAAGGTTCCCTCTCAGGCATGGCTGGCTGGTGTGGGCACCAGGTACAGAGGAGTTCTTGGAGGCTAAGGCAGCAAGGAAAACCTGCAAGGGAAAAACATGAACCCAAACAAGGGAAGAAGACCCAAGCAGTTAGTATTCTCCAGTGAGGGTTTTATTTCAGCCCATTGCTCTCCCTCCTTGCTTAGCACTGTGGATATACACCTCCTGGGAGAGCAGCTCTGCCCAGGGAGATGTGACATCCACCCAGGCAGGGAAGGGGTGGGAGACAGCACGTACCCAGCTGGGTTTTAGAGACTCAGAGCAGATTTCAGCAGCTGATGTCATGGCTGGGGTGAACCCAGCTGGGTTTTAGAGACTCAGAGCAGATTTCAGCAGCTGATGTCATGGCTGAGGTGAGGCTGGTGGGATGTTGGTGGCAGAGGCAGTAATTAAACCCCTGGCATTCTGGCCAGAGGCACAGCCATGTCCTGCTTCATCTGAAGAGAGCTGGTCTGACACAGCAGAAGCCTTTACATAACCAGGCCAGATTTTCACTTTTGGAGCAACAGTTTCAGAAGAACTACAGAAACTGCAGGCAGGATTTGTCGCTACTTATGAGCAGGGGGTGAGCACACTTCTGTCGCCTCCTGTCTCGCACCTCGCTGGGTGACAAGTATGTCAGGCAGTGAGAGCTGGTCTTGCAGCCTTCTGCCTGCATTCCCATTTCCTCTTTCTGTGCTTTCTGTTGGGATAGCAGAGGTTTGCACTGCCATGTGAGACGTTTTCTTATTGCTCTCTGCAACCGCAGTCGCATTTCAGAAGTGTTTTGGCACGTTGCCCTGCTGGCAGCCCACGATCCCAGTAGCAGCTTCTCAGGCTGAAATGGTTTTGTTGCCATGCATTTAGCCCATCTCTGTTATTGCACAGGCTTTTCCTTTCTCCCTCATCTGCTCTGGCTGTATCTCACACAGGAGATGTGAACCTTTTTCAGGGAATCTTTTTCAGCAATTGGAGTGAACCTGAATAAATACTTGTTAGGTAAAAAAGCTTAATTGTAAAGACATAGTGTGTTTCTTGGCTTCTTGTTCTGGCTGACACCATCTCTTGCAGAGTATTGCAACAGCAGTAGTGCAGCAATACACTTACAATGGCATGGTGCATGTGAGCACCAGTGGGAAAGAATCATACTGACGTGCCTTCCAACTCCTGATATTGTCATTGCCTATCCTATGAGCGTGCTTTCCTTGTAGACACACTCACCCAGTGGTTTCCTGGAAAATACAGGCTTAAAACTGATAGGCATTTTTTAACAACACCTAAAACTGTGAGATAATTAAAGTCAAATGCTTTAATTCATTGGTTCCCTTTCCAAATAAAACCATTCAGCCAGAGTAAGAACAATAGATGACTCCCCGTGAGTTCATCAGCTGTAAATCCAGTGTGTAAAGTAAAACAAACACATCATAAAATTTCTACCCTGTTTTTTTTCCCCTCTTTTGGAAAACTTATTATTTCAAGACTTTAAAATCATGGGCTCTGCGTGGGGAACAAGGATGATATGCAGGCAGAGGGCACTGAGGTCTTGGTTTGAGGCAGGGGTGAGAAGTGTTGGCATCCTTGGTGAGGAATGGAGTGAGCCAGAGAGCAGTGGGCTGGGGGGACATGCATGCTTTGGGGATCCCTGCCCAAGTTCAAAGCACTTGTGCAGACACTTGCCTGTAATTATGAATTTAAACACAGACCCGAAGATCTTAAATACATGCACAAACCTAAAACTCTAAACTTTGCACCTCAGCCTGTGCCTGTGTGCTTTTCTGAGTCAAAGCTGCAGAGTGAAGTGGGTTTGGGGAGAGCATTGCTGGGATACAGGCACACAATGACTGGGACTGGCAGGGCAGAGCTGGAGTCCTTTTTGGAACTCAGCTACCACTGTCAGAGTCTGTAGAAGCCACAGTCTCCAATTAACATCTTTAATCTTATTATCTCAAGCCTTTTATCTTCACATTTTCTTGTCTGTTTGTTTGTTTTCTTTAAATTTGTTTACATATACCGAACCAAAAGTTTTTCTGGAAATGCTGGTATGGCTTTTAACTGCAAGAGTGATTCACAGAGAATAATTAGTTCAAAGATCTTGGCATCTCTTTTCCTTGTAAAAAAAGGTGGTGGATATTCTGTGATTTTCTTGAAAGATTTTTTCCCTCTAAATGTGCATGTTTACACTCACACCCACACAGACTCACACACATTTGCAAATGCAGACACTTCCCTCTTCTTCTGGAGCTTTCAAGTTCTGGAGCAGCACATCTGACCTGTACAATTAACCCTTTCTGCCATGTATCTCCTTTATTTATGTCTAAAAGCAAGACAGAGCTTTTGGGGTTGGTGGGGCTCATCCTATAGGTTTTTGTCCACACCTTAAACTTCCTGAGCTTCCTGCACTGAGCAGGCACCTGCAAACAGCAAGGAAGATCTGTGCCCCATGCTGACTCCTGCAGGAGTGGCAATTTCAGGCTCCATCTGGGGGGTTGCTGCTTGGCCTGGGTCAAACCAGGCATTTTTCTAAGGAATTAAACAGCACTGATTGTCTCCCAGTGCCCAGGATTGTTCCCCAGTGTTGTTTAATTTATTAATTATTGCAGTTGATATAAAGGTTTTAGCTTACTCTTGTTTTACTATCTATTAGCAGCAAAAGGAGTGAGTTCTACCTCAGACTTTGTAAGCCCTCAGGAGTATTCTTAGGCAATAAATTAATCCTGGACCTTGCAAGTCTGGAAAACAAGCTCATACAGAACATAAGGGGTGGGATTTCCCCATTGGCACCATAAATGAAGTCTCCCATGAAACCTGGAGTGGCTCCTCACTGTAAACATCAGCCATACTTGAGGTATTTGCTTATTAGAGCTCACAATTTAATTTGAAATTTAGGCACCTAAAGAAAAAAAACCAAGTTGCTAAACACCTTTGAAGAGTAAGATCTTATTTCTTCCCTTGTTCTGAAAAAAGGTCACTTAGGTAATGCCAGAATTCCTGTAGCTTAGTAATTTCCAATATTATTTCAGAAGTTAAAAGCTGTGATGCTGCTTTTTAATCATCATCACAGCATGACAAAAATCCTACTTACTTTGCAGTGATGGTTATATCATTGCAAAACTGACAGCTCCCCTGGGACCTGTGCAAGGTAACAAGAAGGCTGGAGGTGAGCTGGGTTCAGCCAAATAAACACAAGGAGCCCACAGCAGAGTATGGAGTCACTCTGTAATTATACTCCAGTTTTTTCTGCCTTGTCTATGAAGCAGAGTCACTGGAATAGGAGAGCTTCTAAAAATCAGGGAGGACCAAGATTATTATAACTAACTATAAAAACTCTTGGCTCTTTGAGGCCATTTATTCAAATGCCTCTAAGCCCTTGCTATTCACAAAGAGAGATAAATGTAATTATCACAGTTCTAAAGTGTGGAAAGATGAGGCTTAATTAACTACTCATGGATATACAGCAAATGAGTAGCAGAGATGAGAACAGAAACCAGTTTTCCTGACTTCCTCTGGCACCTGGATCCCAGTGCCACCTCTGTCAGGTACACACTACAGTGAGATAAGCATGACAAAAGTACCACTGGGTCAAAGCCCAGACCACAGACAGTCCTAAGCCCAGCTGAATGTCTCTGGGCTGGCACTTGGTGAACACAGCCTGGAATGAGGGACCTGCACGTTGTATGGCTGAGACCAGCTGGATTGTCACAGCCTTGTCCTCCCAACAATCCTAAAGTTTACTTGTGGGAAGGAGTTACCTGCTGAGGCATTGCCCCCATGGCTGCTCCCTGCTGCTCCACCACTCCAGCTGTGCCAGGGGACTCCTGGCTTTATCCAGGCCAGTGGTTTGGGATGATACACACCCTGCACCATCCACAGAAGGCTCCTGGTTTCCCATCTCTTGTGTTCCAATGGCAGGAATGCTCCTGCAGGCTCAGACAGGACCTGTGGCCACTCAGCCATGCACTGGGAGGCTCCTTGTTCCAGAAAACTGAGGCACAGCCTGGAAGAAGAGGCTGTACCAGGAGGTGCAGAGATGAGATAAGCCAGGCACTGCTTCCTCAAAGCCAACATTTAGTCATTGTTTTCCCAAAAGGCTGATGAGGGAGAGGGATAGCTTTAAAGTGTTCTGCTCTGAATAAACAGTGCCAAAGCAGAGGAAGGGATCCCTCTTTCACCCCTCTTGCTGACTCTGGGGCAGGAATATTCAAACTCTTTTTCCTCAGTGCCTGCACAGCTCTGGAAGCCAAGGTGCTCACGGCATCTCCACAGGCTCTCTGGAGGTTTATCCACCTGCTTGTCTTAGGGTTTTCTTTTCCTATGGTTGTGATAGAAGTTGTCTCAGCAAATGAGGAGAATTCATTGCTACACAACTGAGATAATTTTTCCTGTTTGGGTCAAAATGTAATCTAGAGGTTCAGGCTCCACTTGCTGTGGCTTCCTGAGCATACTGCTGTGTGTCTGCAGCCATTTACCCAACTCCAGGAGGTAAATTAAGTTAAAATGCTCAGAATAAGTTTTTTTCTGGCTTTGACTCATTACTTACTATGTTGCAGCAGTGAGGCTTTTAAGATAAGAAGGTGTTTCTACTGCAGGCTGAAATAACAGGCTTTAGCACAGCCAGCAGGTGTCTTGCTGCTCAGAGCATGGACAATTCCTGCTTTTACTGAGAGTGGAAGTAGCTACAGCTGTGGCAAGGGGTGACTTTGATGGCAGAGGGAAAACTGTAAATGGGAATCATAGCTTTTACTTCCAGCCACAATCAGAAGACCTATTTAGCATTTGCTCAGCTTCCTACAGGACAATGTTATTTTTACCCTACTAAAGCTTAAGGGCAAGCAAAGAAATCTTTGAAAACTTGCTGTCTTAACTAGGTTGAGTCAAAGTGACCACTGGATGCTACATGCAAATGCATGCATGTACATGTATGTATCTTCTGTTGAAGGTTCTCCAGTGTGACTTTGTATTCAGGGCTTTCAGGTCAGATGGCACTCAAAGATACTCAAGTGCTTGAAGAGAGAAGTGGAGACTCTGACTCAGTGTTTGGGTGGCAGCCTGATCCATCACCCAGATACTTTCTTCCAAGGAAAAATTTCAAAACAGATGTCATAAAAGTGCTTATTTGTGATTAACAACCTGAAGACTGAAGGCAAAGAGGAGGGAGGGACAGAGGGAGAGAGGAGCAGCAGCAGCAGCCATAACCTGAAGGTGCCGTGGGTGGAGATGCTGCTGCAGCTCTCCTGCATCCCCTTCCACTGTGCAGATGGCAACAGCTGTAAGAGGAGCCCTGGATGCAGGTTTTGTTGTCATCACTGATTCCAGAAGCTATTCTGGAATGCCACCTGCTGGCATTTTTCCCATTAACTACCCTGGAGATCAACTGTTGTGTGGTCACATCCCAAGCCTGGAAGCAAAGAGACATGCTTGACCTTTTCAGTCCTTTTCAGTGAATGTCCTTCTTGTTTTCTTGGAGAGAGGTTGCCCTGAGGCCCTGTGAAAAGTCCAATTATGTAAGGGGGGAACTTGTTATGTGGGATCAGGAAAGGGGATGCCGATGCCAGAACAAGCGATGAGAATGGATGTGGGTGAAAGAAACAAGGGAAAAAGTAAAACAAGAGAAAAAAAGTCTTCAGGACTAGTGAGGGATAAATGAGGTCTTCCATCAAGCACTAGTTTAGATGGCCCTTAAAAAGGAGCATTTAAGTCCATGATTTTGCTTTTTCCATTGAAGTTTATATGGAAGCGATTAAAAAAACCAAACCAACATATTTTTAGCTTTTAGCTGAAACACTTTAAATTGGAAAGGAAGAGGAGGCACAACTTCTGGCTGCTCTGCTCTTTGGCACCAACACCAAAATCTGCAGTGCTGATGTTTATAATCCCTGACAGTCCTGACAGGCAGACCAAAGCAAAGAACAAAGGCCCGTGATGGTCAGTCACCCTCATTCACACAGGGGAGGGGGACAAACCTCCCAGCTGCCACTCTCCTCATGGAGACACCATCCTGCTGCTCCTC